GCAACACCACTTCGTTTACGGACACTCGCGGGGCGGTCAACCCGATACAAGTTATATCCATCCACCGGTAAAATTTCACTAGAGGTTTCTTCATGTAGCCACGATTCCTGAAGCATAATGATTCCCAGGTTTTTGTACTCCTTTTTCCTTACGATGTCTACCACCTCCTCGACTTTTCCCAACAGAGAACGAACATTGATTGTTAAAATGAGAGGAATTTGCATCTGACTAGTGCTGCACTATCTGACAACGACTTGCCAGCCTGCTCGATNTTGGAATACTTCACAAAAGGTGCAGTTCGCGCGATAACACATAACGATTTCATGAACGTGCTCGTGTAGGATGGCATTTCGTGTCCTTGAAATTGATAACAATGCGATTTGATGACAAATAAATCCACAAAAGTGTAAATATGATTTTCGAGATAAATGACGCGGCCGAAATCAAAGGCCCCGCCCGTTCAGTCCATTCATATGGATTTGTGTTAGCTTTCTTAGCTAACCCCTTTGTGTTCCACCCACTAGTGTATGCATCTATGCATTGACTGCACGAGATTTTGCGACGTCACTAAACCCAGCTGATTATTCCTATGCTGTATGTAGAAGGCTTTGATTGGTATTTGCCAACTTCAAACATCTGTGGCGCTCCCGTGACATCCGGCTGTTCTTGAAGGGTCGAGTGTATGTCGCAATAGTTCTTCTATACGGCAAAGACACTAAATCGTTACAAAACCAGGATCAAAATAAAATATCGATTTTTGAACACCGCTGTCCACGCAGCATAGCACAAGTTTGATGGGACCACCGGACGAGCAATACTCTGGTTAGGCGGAGAATTCTGGGTAACTGTAGTCGTCCATTGGAGCCAGTGGTCAATACAAGGCAATTTTTGATCAAATCAGCTTCTGTGATGATGCAATAATGTCTCGGAGTAGTTTTTTAAATGAAAAAGAAGAGGTTTATCATCGATTTGTGATACAAACCGTGGTTTCCATTTTCGTGGATAAGCCAAGAAGCTGAGGTTATTCGGCAACAGATAAAATGTCACTGTGGGGTGGGGCGGATCCCAGTTACTGTAGTGACTCGCTGTCAATTCCAGTATCATCAGCGTACTTGAAAGTAAAAATGGGCCTAATACAAAGCGGATTGTGCATGTAAAAAGAAAAATAGAAATAGCAAATGAGAAATGTTTGGACGGTCTGCAATATCCAGCAGTAGATTTTTTCCCGAGGAATGGAATGCGTTTTCATAATGAATAAAAGAAAGCGGAATTATAATGTTTGGTTTCAGTGACTGAAGCCGTATAATGAAACAAGTACTCCTTGGCATCCGTGGGGGACCTCCATCTTCACTATGGAAATCAGCTGGTATTGAGAACTGCCAATGATTGTTCAGAGCAACCAATCTTTTATTTTTCATTTTCATTTAGTCTTTTGCATTATTTTAGGTAAATTTTCAGTTTTATACAACCAGTAACCCGACCGTTTTGTGCGCCGGTTCTGGTCGCTTTCTTTTGCCTGCTTATTTGGATGAATCAGTTTGATCAATATACAGTCGAAGAGAAAATGGAGTATTTCAGTAGACTCAGGTTGCAAATAAATTGCGAAGATGCACGAGCGCCATTGGTAACGACAGTCAGCAATATCACTCCGTCTCTAACGATTGATCACAGTGATCCCGAAGTTCCTACCCAGGGAACCTAACGCGATCTATATGACCGAGTCACCTGGTTAGAGTTTTCATACTCATGTGAGATTTTAGTTTGACCACCCTTGGCCGTTTGTCCCCCACTGCCTGCATATATATATATATATATATATATATATATATATATGACTTAGTGGCCTTAGCGCACGATTACTACCGATCCATAGCAATCAGCTGCAAAGTTTAGAGCAAATTTGATGAGTGCAAGACGGAGCAAAAGGCCTCCTCCTCCCTTTGATCAAAACAAAGGGCCAGGTGTCAATAGATTCCAAAATGTTCTTTGAGGGACACAATGTCCAAGAGGATCACACATGATAAGTGTGACCTGTAGTAATATTATCCTTCAACTCGTAAAATTGCTTTCCTTTTTAATACTAGCTTCACAGATCGTGACACTAGGACTTATCGTTGTGCCACTGTATGCTGTCCGTTCGAATGAGCATACACAGCGTTCGGCTGTCTAATTCGACATGAGCCATTCTTCCAAATGTAAAACTTGCTTCGTTCACCTACGCCGTGAATGAATTTGATCAATTCCCTTATTTGTGTTATTCGTATTATTTAATGTGGTTGTTTTCTCGCGTGGAACATTATCGACTTTTGTGTTTCACAATGATGCATAAGCCAGATCGGTGTCCGACCTGTTTTCAATATGACTACCTCGTATTCCGTGTTGGTCTGTCCTGTCGTTCTACTCTCAGCCCGAACGCCTAAAGAAGCACGCGAAAATTCCGAATCATAAACTTCTATGGCATGGCACCAGTGTCGGTGTGGTTGCTGCAATTCTGAAAACCGGTCTGCGCATCATGCCACATTCGGGTGGACTGGTCGGCAAAGGGATCTATTTTGCCTCACAAGCCGCCAAATCGATGGGCTATTGTAAGTCTGCTTTTGGTGTTTTTGTTGTTGTTTATCTGTCTCGTACGAGGCAATAGTTTTTCGATCTGTTTTCGCGAAACGCGTTGTGAATTGATACATATTGGCGATATTGGCGGAACGTGACAGGCCGCGAAAGCGTTTAATTTCATTAGTCCAGTCGCCTGCTTAAAACTATCGAAATGCGATTCCATTTCACCACATTTTTGAACCGGCACAAAATAAACAGTTTTGTCTGTTGATTATTTGAATTTAATTTTAATTTAAACAACCTGGTCATAATCCCTGCGGCTAGCGCTCGGATGAGCTAGAATCAATACTCACAACAAGCTCGCATAGATGGGTTGTGGTATATTATGACCGAGTGAGGAGTACGCTTACGTTCTGTCCATGAGGTCTCGGGTTCAATCCTCGGTTGGTTCGCTGGATTCGCACTGCTGATGAGACCCAAATCAGGTGGAGAAAACTGTCCATTATTTCCCAGCTTTTCAGCTCACGGCTCAATCACGCGACGAATACATCGTTATAAACAGTTTGAATAATAACTGAACAAATATTGCTACAAAAGCACAGGTTTTTACCGATCACCACGTTTGCATAGATGGTACTCCACCGTCAACTCATCGTTCTGCTTTGTCATCCCTAGGTGAATTTCACCTCGTTATCATCATTTGAATTTCAAGAATTCAATTTGAAAACTGACCGTTTTGAAAAAGCACCACAATGTAATCATGGTAGAAATCTCTAAAAGAGGTTTTACCGCTTAAAGGGCGATCATAAGAAATATATGTCCAGATCGAATTCGTCGAGGTAAGATGCAAATAAACGACAAAAAAGCTCAATAACTCAACTCCAATTATTACTACTAGTGATGAGATAAACGTTCGGGAGTAATACGGAGCTGCGTATTCCTGTTTTCATTGTGATTCAAAACTACAGGTAATCGGTACAAATTGAATAATTGAAATGAATCGTTTGAGACTGTCAGAAATAAACATTGTAATCACCATGATAGTCCGCTTTGTTCGATCGATATTTGTTCCAGTCCAATAGATAGCTAAGTTGAAGTATGGTTGATTTGCGTCAGTACCCAACGTGATGAGAATATTTTGCGTGGGTAATTTACTATCTCGAGCCATTTCTCTGACAGTATCATTTCGAAAGGCTTCTTGATCAATGTAAATAGGATGATATCTACTTGATTGATTTTCGTTGTTCTAGGTGGTTGCGATCGTGATGGCCATCGGTTGATGTTCTTGACCGAAGTGGTTTTGGGTAAAGAACATTACATATACACCCCAGACGGGTCAATCAGAAAGCCCCCGAATGGTTACGACAGTGTTGTGGCATTCGGTACTCACGATTCGAGTAAGTCATTCGTTTTTTGCTGAATACTATAAATTTCACTGCTAATCGGGTCTGGTGCGCATTATCACATATGTTACACTTTCCATACCGGGAGAGCGTACTTCGCCGATTTTTCAATTTTTTCGCTATTTCGCTACAACTGTTCAAGCGAAAATTACCACAGTTCACTAAATCATGTCCACCTTATAATCCTGAAGAGAACCTTAGAGGTTTGGAGACAATCAGTCATCGTCGGTTTTGGATTTGGTGTTGACAGGCTAGGAATGGACGGTGAAATGGATTTGTACTCCAACCGCATTAGGACGCAATGGCCATGCTACGCATTTGATTGACTACCTCCCGGTTACTGTGCTTCGCATATTGTCCAAATTATTGGAATCTATTTTTCTAGAATATGTACTGACTCCTTTGGAAAAATTTAATATGTTATCTCCATCGCAACGTGAGGTTCGGCAAAAGAGATAGTGCACCACTAATTTAATTCTCAGTTTCAGATTTTGCAACCATTGACAGAGTACCTGTATGCGACGGTTTTCTTTGTTGCTGTCTTTAGGCTATCCATTTTGAATGACACAGCAGAAAGATTGCAGTGTTAGCAGCAGAGTCAATAGAAGATAAATAATTCTCATTAACTAAAGTTGTAAGGATAATGAGTAAAACTGTCCCGTTTGCAAACACTCACCCAGTATCACTCCGTATCTTTGATCACCGGTTATCATTATCCCAAGGTTCCCATCCGGATTGCCTAACGCGACCTATGTGACCGAGTTTGCTGGGTAGGACTTTCATACCCTCATACCAAGTCTTTCTTTGGTCACCTTTGGTTTGTCTTCATCTACTACCTACGTCGGCAAACATCCCTCGCCGTGGCCATCTATTTGGTGACAAGCAGAAAACGTACCCCAACTTACGTAACCGAGCATGTTGCCCACTTGCCGCAGTGGTTTACTGTGGTTGTCTAAAACTTTACGCCTGAATTTCGTCTGACTCGCGAAGAATGAACAAAAGTAGTTGACTGTGGTGGCGTCAATGTGAACCTGTACTGTTCCCAAGTTTGATATCAGCCCTAATTTGACCCCACATGGAGTGCGGCATTCAGGACGCAATCCACTGCCACAACAGGACCGCAAGTTTTCGGAACTTGTAAAAAGATCCCTCATAATACGGTTAAAGGGCTGCATTTCAATACCTATGTATAATCCGGGCGCTTATCGATGATACGGCTATCCTCACTAGATCAGTGATGATTGAGTTTGCCCAAAGCTGGAGAAGACTGATCAGCGTAAAGGGTGCGTTTTTAATGTGACTACAAAACACTCCAGGCAGTTTGATCAGCCAAGGAGGCCAAAGTTCTCTATTCATTGTTTTAATCAACCAACCAATTAGTTAGAAGAGAATTCGACCCCCATGCAGAAGACTGGGGACACTTACTCAGTCTCCCTATTTGAAGTGTTGCTCAGGTAGTTGTTTTCCTTTTCGAGGGCGACAATGGAGTTTATTTCCGGAAAATTCGCCGTGTTTCTCTTCACTTTCTCAATCGCGACTGTCGCAAAATTTCATCTCAATCATATCTCATGATAGGGTGTGCTTTTTGAATTAGGCTACTTGGTTTTAGTTCCGATTTACTTCTTCGATTCGCGTTCGTGATCAAATCAAAGTGTATTTAATATGATCTTCTGTAATCATCACAAATGAACTGAGGCACTTGTTAAAAACCTGCCCTCTCCACACCGCATTATTTTTTTTGAAAGTATGATATGACACTGGAAATCGATTGTTTAACAATTTTCACTATTTTTCATCTTTCCCGCTTATCTGCATCTGACATGTTCATTCAATTCCTCTCTGGCCGTCATCGTTGTGGTCGTCCTGTATACGTCGGTCGCCCGGACCAGAGCCTGAAGAAAGCAAGGTGTTAACCCTGGATGGTGTCAAAGTCATCGTTCCGTACTCTCCGCCAGTAGTCCGAGAAACCAACTCCAGTTTCTATGATAGCGAATATCTGATCTACGATGAGTCTCAAGCATGTCTTCGATACTTGGTTGAGTGGAAACCAAGCTGGTAGTATACAGACCAATCATTTTTCTCACGACCCGGACGCTCTGATCCATCATGAATGTATCTTTTAACTGCCGAAAGTTTTACACATGTCTTTTATAATATTTATATTTTGCCTTGTTTTATGTATCTTAGCTAATTGTCACCCGCTTATCATGCATTCTAACTTTCTCTCACCCTTATCATCTTGTAATCACCCAGTCATTTTTTCCTTTGGTTTTACTTTCATCATGGCTGTGTTGTTTCTCGTGCAAATCCGCTTTTCTCCTGCTTTGTTTGCTGACTTGAACAAATAAATCTGTCTGGGATCGTTAGTTTCCATTTTCACTGAACTGTGAATGTTATTTGGTCAGCGATCGTTTTGCTACCCATGTATATCACAATATGGCCGAGCGATAATTGTTTGGTTCTACTGCTGTGCAAGCTGGCAAAATTACACGTGATTAAAAAACAAAACTGCGTATAAACTGTGATAGCTGGATTGGGAGATGTCCAAAAGCGGAAGGTGACAAAAGTTTGGGCTTCACATTTCAGAATCCTATGTAGTGCCGTGCTTGATGAATCGTAGTTGTTAAACCTGTCCAACTGAATTTCAATCATGTCAGCCTCGCGCTACAGAGCTTAAATCGGATTTTGTTCGTCAGGTACCGCACGGTGGTGTCGCCGGTCTCAAGAATTAGTAAATATTGACTATCATAGGTCATAAAAGAAGTAGCTCAAAGAGCATGGCGTTTAAGTTCGACTTTAAGTAGCAACTATTTGAACCGAACCGAGATTGGTGCGTTTTTCAAACCCATTTCTTCTGCGCATTTTCAATGCATAATTTGTTTCGGAAACTGGATAGTCAGTGTTGCACCGCGTGCGTTCGGTTGACCTAACCACAAATACTTTTCTGGTGCAACACAAAATTGGCTTTCGTACGCATGTCGCGCCCTGCCCATACAAGTACCTGAATTCCGCCCTCTTGGTTTGCTTGTCGTCAGGGGGTCACAAAGTTAGATTAAGTATGCATCAGGTCCTCATATAAAAGCACACCTTGATCTGACTGCATTCCACTTAATCTCCTAAATGGGTTACGATTTTTGGTTCCATGATGTGGCGCTCACTTGAAACATTAAATTAAACACATTAATTAATTTAATTAATTAAACACATTCAACCAACCAATCACCAAGTGATTCGCAGTATTTCGTAGTGCATATTTAAACGTAGTGTGAGTGAACTTGGGCACTTCTTGGGCCAGTACATCTGTGTTATGAAAAGCAGAAGTTTGAATGTCTGAACTCCATTGTGTAGCTAAACTAGACTAATTGCCAACGCACATCAGATAGATGAACAACTTGAAGAAAGAGACGTTCAGCGATGATAGTTTCTCTTTTTTCACTTCGACGGTCCGGATGAACCACGCCCTTGTCGCCTGACATGCGGAGTGGCGAACCAGATACCGTGGGCCGAGAACCCTGTGGTAGCTATTGATGGTTTAGGATGCTATTTTTGTGAACTGCAATTCACGACCTATGATTCCGGATGAAAGTGGGTGGCGGACTCGTACATAAGTATGTTGAGTGACTTCCATCTCCTTGCAGTAGTCGAATCTGCTATGTTTGTTCCGTAAGACATCCCTATCAAACCTGAGGCTCGCGTCCTCTAAATTGATCCCATTGTGTGGAACTATCAAGGAAGTCGCATTGATTGGCCCCATCGAATTTCTGACTTAAACCCAATGGAGAACGCTTCGGACTTGTTCAAGTGGAACACTTCAGTGACGACCGAAAAGTGCTAACTCGCATCCTGGTGAAATATGCAGAGAACTGAGATGAGTTAAGAAATTGCGGTAAGTACATTTTATACAATGCTGAATGGAATGAGTCGTTTCTAAGAATCACTAATTCTTCAGTTTGAACAATGGTGCGATAAAAGCGTTCTTCATCTTAAAAGCATGCTTTTTAAGATAAACTTATCTTTCTTAATTCATCATGCAAATCCGTGCATTAGCCTAGTATACGGATAGGAGAAGATATAATGACGATCAATTTGACGCTTCTGTGTTCTTCGTGTTCTTACTTATCTCCTCAGAGTAATGTGAAGTGAGAGCAATAGCTGAAGTTTATTCTATCATCATGTCACGACTTGTGTATGCAAGGCGCAAATCGAGGGTATCAGAACACCACAATGACGCGACAATTAGAGTGTGTCGTTGGTTCTCCAATCGGTTGATCGGACAATCTTTGTCCCATTCTTCCTGCAGTCAATTGATCTAGACCCAATCTGTCGTTGGTCCCGCGATCGCGCGTGTACCCTAGCCTGGTCCCGTCTACCGGTTATCGAGTTCTGTGAGCTCTGTCCTCACAAATGCGTATCAGATTCTTGCACGCGGCATTCGGTTTATTTGCCCATGTTAGTGAATGTGGGGTTTTGTAATCCCCCTTGTGTTGTAAATGGGTCTATTTGCTCTGAAAGCACTCGGAGACTAAACGAATGCGACTGTTGATCGCTTGATAGAAACATTATTAATGTTTCAAATTGGTAACGATTACAGTGACAGACCGCCCGAGTTTCATCTTTGCTGTCAGCGATACATAAATCTCATCTAACCTCCATGATATTGTTCAAGTTTGTGGATGTGAGTGCTTGAGATGCTTTGAAATTTTGCACTCACAAACCACCCAAGCAACATGTAATGCAGTGTTCAATCTATTCAACCAAGCATATCTTATTTGGAGCACATGTTGTAGGCGAACATATGTTTTCGGCGAGTTCCTTATCAAGCCATTACAATCACATTTATGTGAGAAAATAACGGGAAGGTGTTGTGTTGGGGTCAAACAGTCGAGGTCAAATAAATATAGCAAAGGGGTAGGTAGGGACACATTTGTCTCTGGTTCTCTTGTTCAGATAATAATGGGTTACGTAAGCGTTGATAATTCATTTGACTCATCGCAACGCTCATGCGTCATGTTGTCCGTTTTGGGTCAGTGAAGTTCAAGTGCCTGAACAAGTGTTTTTTGAGCACAATTCTGGCTTTAACATTCGGATAATATTTACCTCGGCTGTTGCTTATTTGCCTACTTTCAATTAGGGAGTAGTCAATGTTAATTTGAGAAATTATCCTTACCCCATTACGGCGCAACTTGCTTAACTCCTGATGTGCCCAACTCTCGGCTGATGAATGTTCCGAAAGTTACATGCATCCTCTTTGGAGATCTGATCTCAAAAGAGGACCTCAGAAATAAGTTTTGGTTATTCTAGTTTTGTGTGACGATCCCAAAACCTAAAATGCTTCTATACCACAAATCCTTTGGACTAGAATCTGCTGATAAAGCCCTATTGTTTGCTTTCCCGTGGTCAGTGTTTTTCCACCCAAGTGACAAGACGAAAAGCACATCCGGATTTACAACCGGGCCGTCGAACCATTAGTAGTTGGCTGAAATTCCTGGTACACACATATGACGTACGAACACTTACGCCCAATGATGAATATAGGCTTTTCTGGTGGTTCTTGGTTTTTAATGGAACCCCGATACTCCGGGTTTGATTGTTGAAATAAATTCTCTTTCCACATTGCAGACGATCTTCTATAATCAACTATCATCTCGATGGATACTAGTTTTACCATCACTTCTACCGAGATTCCCGTAATGTTTCTGCGACTGTTGTCGTTAATTTTGGCCCAGACGTGTTGACTTCAGCCTTGTTTAATGCGTTTAATCGTTAATTGGTTCCAAATCAGTGAATTCGCGGTCAGTAGATTAGATTTGTACAAATTCCGAAAGATAATAGCTGGGTGAGGGAAATCTGGCGGTGTGTATTGAATGGAATGTTCACTTGTGTGTCTGTTGTCATTATTTGCCATTGGAAGCGGAAGTCAATCGAGAGGTCAAACGAGCGGTTCAGGTGTAGATAACTAATAATTTCCCTCGCTTTTACATTTTCTTTTTAGATGCCCGATTCTATGCGGTCTATCTCTTAAAGAATGCTCATAAAGTGTTTCGGTGCAGCAACAAAGTGTGTGCCTCTGAAAGCCTCAGTATGGTCCGGGGTTGGGTATCTAGAGTTGCGGCTTGTCACACTTCCCTTGCACCTCGCTAAATGCTCCCATACGAGTAAGCGTCTTGAACAAAATCTGATAAGAAAGCCCTTCTGACTGCCTTCTCGTAGCGCAGATGTTTTTCCACCAAAGCAAGAGGACGAAAAGCCGACATCCGGGGCTATAATCGGGTTGGTGGACCATTGGTAGTTTATTCAGGGGAGTTGGTAACAAACCCCGATTTCAAACCAACCAAAGGGATGTGTAAGAACCATGCACACAACTTCCTGTTTGTGGCAGTAGTAGTCACCGGCTCGATTGGGTACCTTGGACGTTTGACTCCTTCCAAAGAGTGTATGATCCGATGAACTGGACATCAGTTCCCCAAAGTATTTCGGTTTTTACGAACTCCTCCGCTACCTAACGTGTCAGGCTGCAGCTAGCCGAAAACTACGGTTGTGGGTTCCTCAAGAAAATTCACCTGCCCTGGCCTGGGCAGCCTGCCAGTATTCCTCCCACATGCAACTTATGGAACGTTTCTTTCGTTTTCATAAAGATTTTGCTACCATGATTTCTTCGGCACACATTCTGGATTCAGACGTGTGTAAAAATATAATATAATATCCGAAGAGGTTCTCAGTTAATCAAGATGCGATGCTGCCGAATGCATCGTCATCGAAATCCGGGGTCTTTTTTCGGCTGACAAGTTACAAAGTGGGCTTTTCGCAGTTCAAAGGGTTACACACTGTGGTTTACGTATTACATAATTGTAAACTAACAGTGTGTGTTATACGATTATCCCCTCTTAATGGATACATTTGTACAACCACGTTTTACGTAGAATGCAGGCTACGGCGATCTTTCAGGCATATCCTACGTAGAAAAATAAGGGATGTTGTTGAAACGATTATCTCCCTGCTATGATGCAACCTGACGATAACCGCTTTACCAACGCCTCCCATGCAGATTTTGTTGTCAATTGCGAATGAATGAGAATGTATTCGCACTGAGTCCTTGAAAGAAGTTAACCTCACTATGTTCGTTGTTGTCTGGTAGACTCGACTCTGAACGTTGGTTCGGTGAATCTACAGGACTAATGGTTGCTGGCCAGTAAGGATAGGCCATGCACAACAGACAGGATCTCTGATTAGTGGGGCCGACTCATGAAACGACAATGGATAACGAAATATTATCTGAAATGCTTCCTGCATGTTCAGTAGAGACGGAGTTGAAGTTGCATTCTATTTGGACCTTTCTCATCAGTCTATTCCTCCAATTTCAGCTCGGAATGCCTCCCAAACGGAAAGCAGCCAGTCAGGCTTCAAATACACGGGCAAAGGTGTCTCGTCAAGAACAGAAAGAGAAGGACACAATAATGAGAACCGTTTCTGGTAGTCCAAATTTCACTATGGCACAGATTATTCAACAGATCTGAAACAAGTGGAAGAAGAAATTATCCACTCAGTGGATAAATCATTCAATCCCCCATCGGTATGTTTTCCATTCATCGTCAGATGTCTGTTCACGGGAGCCTAACACGTAAACAGGAGCGATCCCAATGGACAGTCTACAAAGACTATGATTGTATGCTCAATCAGACCAATATAGATGAGAACAATAATAAATTCTATATCATTCAGCTGCTACAACATGTGAAGCGTCCCGATCGATTCTTGGTCTGGACTCGATGGGGACGTGTGGTAGGTTGCTGGATTGGAGGTTTTACGCTAATCTTTTTCGTGAAGGGTGAACGGGGCCAAAACGCCCGATTCGGTCCATTTAGTAATTTGAAAGATGCAGTGAAAGCGTTTGAGAAGAAATTCACAGACAAAACAAAAAATTCGTGGTCCAAACGTGCGTCGTTTGTGTTTCATCCAGGCAAATATAGTTTGGTGGAGGTTGTCGAAAAAGAAGCCGCGGATATTCCGATGCCTAATGTGGAGGAGAAGGTGAGCGTGATGTTGTGTGTTGTCTGATTCGTCATTTGTTTCAGAACATAACACCGTCAAAATTGGAGACACACACCCTGCAACTGATCCGCCGCATATTTGACACCGAAATGTTCAATCACGTTATGACAACATTGAAGATTGGTTCGTTTCACTGCAGTTTCCATTTGTTTTTCGTTTGCGCTTCACATATGGCTGCCCCGAGTTAAACTTTGTAATACGCAGCTTCACAGTCTGCGTGCTCTTTTTCATTGATCGGTTAATTTCCCAGTGTTTAAGGGACTATTTGAATAACAATATCTGTTCAGTGACAGGGGTTGGAGTGCTTGAAGTGACTGGGCTGGCTGTCAGCACTGACCTAGCAACCAAATCCAGTTACACCTCAAGTGTAGCTCACTCATTTTTCGTTCAGCCTATAGAACTGAACGAAACAGAACGCAGTCGATATGTTTGGTGAAAAGGGTTACTCTTCTTCCGAAAAAGTCTTGTTGCGTATGAAACACCGACAAATGACATCAAGATACGGTGTACATTTTTTGACAAGTTTTCGGTTAGCAAGCAGACTGAGATTAAAATAATAACCACTCTGGGGAATCTAATAATAAACTCTCCCAGTAGAATTGTAAGATAAAAGGACGGAAGTGAGCATCAGCATTTTTTATATTGGATTTTTTGATAAGGTCAGGTGCAGTCAGTGAGTTAGACTAGCAGATGAATGATGTAATTTCCGCTTCACCTCAATACCAAATGGAGAAAAGGGATAGTCTCGACTTAATATTTCGTCGTCCGTACCACTCAAGACTTCTGAGCTACATTTGCTGAATTGGATGCAAAACTATTTCTCTGACTCATGCCAGTTCACATGTCTTAATGACATTAGCTCTTCCACCATCAAATTGTTTTCACACTTCAAAATGCCGATAGTGTAGTGGCTGCTGATGCATACAACAGCCTCATTTTCATCAACCCTTTTCAATCAGCACTAAGTTCCATTCCTGCATGACCCTAAAATGGTTTAGATTAACAAACTGCTCATTTTCCGGTAATCCTGTAAAGCTGAACCAAACAGAACGTAATCCATTCGGTTGAAAAACGGAGATATTTTCAAAGTGAAAAGTGGATAGTTATTGTCAGAAAAATTATTGTTGCATAATGAATACCCACAAATTACACAGCATTACAGCGGAAATGTTTTTACAAGCCTCCGGTTAGCCAGCACATTGACCAATGTTTATTGTTCTGCGAAGCAATAATATATCAAAGGACCCGTTCCGAAGGAATTCGGTTTTACGAGGTTTTCCCTAGTTTACCATTGTTAAAAGGTCTTACCCACATGCACCACGAAGCGGCTGTTGAATTCCCATAGAATTAGCGAGTGGATTAAAGGATTTACTACTGTAACGATATAGAGAATGCGCTTCTGCCGTCTGACCGTTCCATGAATTATCTTGCGTGTTTGTGGGAATGATGATGACTTGTTCCAAATGAGATGTTTTGTTGTAAGTGCGCCAATCATCGTTCGCTGCTCTCATTGTTGTTCGTAATAAACAAATTTCCTTTTCCGGTAATGACTTGTGTAATCATGACACTGCAGTTTAACTGACTTAATCTCACTTCACCCCATCCAACCCACCTGTCTTCGAGAAGATCGTTGATTCAAGGCTGCTGCGTGATCCATGTTCGTCTTATTAACAAAGTTGACCAGTGGCAATCATTTCCTCAACTGTATCGATCACTTCCCAGGTAGAATCATCTGTCACCGTATCGTATGCCTGTTCGAATCTATGGAGGATGCGCAATG